CTACAAGACAGCAGTGAACAAGCACTGGGGTCAGGGGACTAAGGTGCAAATATCAGCTTTGCGAGGCACTACCCACTGGCAAATGGTTTTGCCTCTCTGGGTCTCAGTTTCCTCATTTGTAAAATGAGGGGTTGAATTTGCTGGCCTTTGGAATTGTTTCCATCTCTCGATTTTTGAGTCTATGAACTGGATTCAAGTTCTGGCTCTGCTCCTTACGACCTTTGTGACATTGAACAAGTCACTTCTCTGACCTTCTGTTTCCTCTTCAATAAAATGAGGGTGTTGGTCTCAGTGCCCTTCTAAGAGACCTTCCAGCTTCGTGGCTATAAGCGTTATGCTGCTCATAACTGAAGCTGGAGGCTTTTCAGCTTCCTCAGAGATGTCTTGGAAGAGAGGCGGCTCCCTGTGTCGTGTGGTTCACACCCAGAATCACTTAGAGCCTTTCTCGACTTCCTGACTGTGTTGCTGAGTGAGTAGAGGCAGCTGAGCCCCAAGGAAGTTAGGCCAGGGAGGTGGGAAGTCCCCACTTCTGAGCAATTCCAGAAGAGAAGCTTGTTCCCTATTTGCCCTGCTCTTCTGAAGGAAGGAAGATGGGGCAGCAGTGTTTGGGAGCAGAAGTGAGACTCCGGAAAGCCAAAGGCAGGGCCAGGCAGTGGGAGATCCCCAGAGAATCTGCCTCGGCATCGCTGGGTGATCTTAGACAAGCAGCATAATCTGTCAGGCCTCACTGTCCTCATCTGTACAATGGACGGAGCAGTATCCTTAGGGCATACCCAAAGTTGCAGCAAATTAATCTGGCTCTGTCTCTTTCATAAATCATATGAATCTGGACAATGAGGCAGAGCTGCTTAGCCAGTGGGTGAGGAAACCTGAGGTCACAGGATCATAGGATGCACACTGAGGGGGGAACTTAGAGGCCATTGTAACCACTCCTTTTACACATGGGGAAACTGAAGCCCAGAGAGGCAAAGACTTGCCCAGGATCATATAACTAGTGAGTACCTGAGTCAGGATTTGAATCTGTATCTTCCTGGCTCCAAGTCCAGGGTTCTACCCACTGCACAACACTGCCTCCACTGATGGAGCTAATCCTGCCTCCATCATTTACTGACTCTGTGTCCCTGGGCAAGTCAGTTAACCTTCATGAACCTCAGTTTCCTCACCTGTCAAATTGGGATAATAATACTCACACCACCTGCTTTACAAGGTGACGGGCGGGAAAGCTCTCTGTAAATAATAACATGCCCTGGAGAGGTGAGATGCTGAGTGTGGGAAGAAAGAGAAGCCAGAGCGTGGGTCAATGACTGCAGCTAACGCCATCATACAGAGAAGTCCGTCACAGTACGGTTTAGAGCTGGGAAAGGCTTTGGGGTTACCTCATCCAGCCCTGGCCCTTTAAGAATGAGGAAACTGAGAAGTAGGCATGGGAAGTGACTTTTCCTAAGTCACCCAGGTAGTGAATGGCAGATTTAGGCATCAGTCTGGATCCTCCGATCTGAGGCCAGAGGATTCTAGAAATCACAGCTGGAAGGGATAATGAGAAGATCACGTGTTCACAGACTTTAGAACCTGAAGAGACCTGAGAGGAAACCTTGTGTGGCATCCTCATGTTCTAGCTGAGGAAATTAAGGAGAAAAAATGACTTGTCCAAGGTCACACATCTACCATAAGTAGATGAACCAGAATTGGCACACTGTCTTCAGTGACTTATTTGTAGAGGATTTTTTTTCTTACTTGAGAAATATCCCAGAAAAAAGGATTTTCCTACGAAAGGCCAATAGAAAGAGAACAGCTCTTCTCCGAAGGGTTGAGCTAGCCCAGGTGCACCCTAAGTATCAGCAAGGCAGGAGACAAAGGGATCTTTCTGATGTTTGTTCTTCTGTATCTAGAAAAGGGAGGGTTTCTGTCAGCTTCTGCAGCAGATGAAGAACAGGCATTCTGAGCAGCCAGAGCCCGACATGATCACCATCTTCATCGGGACCTGGAACATGGGTACGTCCACACCCTCTCATCCCTGGCGTCTCTGGTTCAGCGTCTCTGGTGGCCGCCCCCTCCCTCCAGTCACACAGTCACTGCCCCCATGGCCCAGCCCCTTAGCCCTCCTCCCTTAAGCTATTACAGTGGCCCCCTAATGGACCTCCATGCCTCCAGTCTTTATCGTCCTCTAAACAGCTGCCAAAGGGAGCTTCCTAAAACATAGGTCCAATGGTGGCATTCTCCTGCTCAGGAGGAGCAGCTCCTGCTTTAGAAGGCTACAATCTTCCCAGCTTGGCACAGCTTGGCATTTAAGGTCCTTTCGAATCTGTCCCCAACCCATCTTTCCAGGCTGAGAGCACTGAACCTGGAGTCAGGAAGACTGGAGTTCCAATCTAACCTCAGACACTTACCAGTGTGACCAGAGGCAAGCCTGCCTCAGTTTCCTCCTCTGTATGATGGGGATGATAATAGCACCTACCTTTGAGAGTTGTAAGGATCAAATAGAATAAATATTTGTAAAGCACTTTACAAACCTTAAATACTATGAAAATGCTTGTTGTTGTTATTATAACACTTCTCAACAAACCATTACTTACTGTTTCCCATATGTAAAAGAATGAAAAAAAAATCTGCATTAAGTGCCTACTGTGCACTGATTTAGGCAGAGCTCTCAACCTGAGCATCAGACACCAGGTCAGGGCCCCCATGCCAGCTCTGCCCCTTAGGACCAGAGTGGCCTGGACCAAGGCACTTGCCATGCAGGGCTTGGCCTGAAAGCTCTCCTGGCTTCTGGCTCTCACTCTCTGATCTCCCTCCCAGGAGTTCCGCTCTCTTGCAAAGACAATTTTCTGGCCCACACTTTCTCTTCCACTTTCCCACAATCACGGGCACCCTCTCTGGGATGTGTCTGAAGGTTTTGAGCAGCAGCTTGGAGCAGCTCTGTGCCAGCCTCTGGGGCTCACATTTCTTTTTTCTTTTATTTTTTATTTCTTCTTAAAGTTCTTTGCTTTCTCTTGAAAATTTACTAATTTCCCAAAGTCTCATCCTATTTTCTATCAAGCTCCTATTTGATGAGTAGACTAATCATACTAAGAGGCAGTCCTGCAGAGAGCCAACCTTAAAACCTGGAAGACCTGGGTTCAAGTTCGACCTTTGACCCTTACTGGCTGTGTGATCCTGGGCTAATCACTTAACATCTCCGTGTTCTAGGCATCTCTCTAAATCTGTAAGTTACAGAGAGGATGCTGACCTGCACTGGCAGAGGGATTCTTCTCATCTGGGAATTCCCCATACAGATGCAGTCACAGGTCTTGTCCTAATCCTGTCATCTTTCATGCTCACCAGGCTCCTGTGAACTTTTACCTTATAGAGGTAGGACGGTGCAGTGGTGAGAATACCTGGATTCAAAGTCATAGGAGCTGGGTTCGAATCCTGACCATGTCACCTACTTTGGGAGGTAGTTGGTCCCTTCTCTTGCACTTACTTTCAATCTTTCCCTCTACTGGCTCTTTCTCTTCTGCCCACAGACACATACACCTCTCCCCCATACTAAAAAACCCCTCACTCAATCCTTTTATCCTACTTCATCCCATGTCTCTTCTGCCCTTGAAAGAACTGTCTGCCAGAGGAGCCTCCACTTTCCTCTGACTCTTTTCTTAACCCTTGTGCAGTCTGCCTTCTAGCCTCATCGTTCCAGAACGGCTGTCTCCAAAGTGGCCCAATCCAGTGGCCTTTCCTCAGTCCTTACTCTCCTTGACCTCTCTGCAGCCTCTGACGCTGTTGGTCACTCTCCTCTCTCCAGGTTTTTGGGACCCCTTCCCCCACTCCCCCTCCCGGTTCTCCTCCTCCTTCTCTGACCGCTCCTTCTCCATCTCCTTTGCTGAATCCTCCTCCAGGCCATGCCGTCTGATCATAGTTGTCCCCTAAGGTCCTGTCCTGGGCCCTCTTCTCCTTTTCCTCCATTCTATCTCACTCCCATGGATTTAATTATCATCTTTAGCTGCCGATCCTGCCCTACCAAACATCATTTTCCCCCTAAACTCTCTTCTCCTGCCTCTTGTCTTCCCTGTCATTGTAGAGAACACCACCCTCCTCCCGGTCCTTCAGGCCCACACCCTCGGAGTCACTCTGGATTCCTCATTATTCCCCCCCCATATCCAATATGGTGCCAAGGCCTATGGATTTCACCTCTGCAACATCTCTTAAGCACTCGCCCTTCTCTCCTCTGACACTGGCCCAGCCTGGTACAGGCCCTAGTCACTTCGCACTCTGATTATTGCAATGGCTGCTGGGAGGGGTGCCTGCTCCACGTTTCTTCCCACTCCAATCCGGCCTCTTCAGGGGCCAAAGTGATTTTCCTAAAACACAAATCTGATCGTGTCTCCTCCCCACTCCACCGATAAACTCCAGTGCTTCCCTCTCATCCCCAGGATCAAATACAAAAATGCTCTGTTGGACATTCAAAGCCTTTCCTAACCTAGGCCCCCATCTCTTTCCAGTCTTCTCACACCTTACTCCCCACCATATCCTCTTTGATCTGGTAACACCGGCCTCCTGGCTGTTCACAAGCAAGACCCTCCATGTCTTGGCTCTGGGCATTTTCCCTGGCTGTTCCCCATACCTGGAATTCCCTCCTTATAGAGGTGGGGTGGTGTCCTCCCTCATTCATCTCCACCCACTGGCTTCTCTGGCTTCCTTTAAGTCCCAGTGAAAATCTTACCTTCTCCAGGAAGCCTTCCCAGCTCCTCTTAATTCCAGTGCCGGCCATCTCTTAATCATTTCCTCTTTATTTTGTATTAAGCTTGTTTGTACATATGTGTTTCTTTGTTGCCTCCCTGTTAGATTATAAGCTTCTTGAGGGCAAGCAATGTCTTTTGCCTCTTTTTGTATGCCCAGGACTTAGTATAGTGCTTGACACATAGAAGGCATTTAATACCGATTGATTGATGACTGTTCTAGCCCCTCTCAGAATCTTAGGATAGTGGTACCTGTCCTGTGTATCTGCCAGTGGCATAATTAGGCATCAAATGAGATCATGGATGAAAAGCCCTTTAGGAATTTGAATGATCCATTCAATTGTAGGTTATTATTAGAGCCCCCACTCTGAGTTAGAGTGGAGAACAAAGTGAAAGCAATTCACAGTAGGTGTTTGAATGACTGACATATGGAAGAGAGATTAGCTTTGTTCTGCCTGGTGTGCTGAAATTACAAAGAAGACTATGTAAACTTAAGACAAAGGAAATACTTCGTACCTATAAGAGCTGTGCCGAGGTGGGATGAGCCATCTCAGGAGGCATCAAGATGCCTGGGACTTGAGGTCTTTGGGCAGATATTGAATGACCACTTGCTGGAAATGTCATGGAAGAGAGTGTCAGTTAGGTAGAGGTTAGTGGGTGAGGTCCCCTTCAGTTCTGAGATTTGGGGAGTTTTCCGGCCAGCTCATTTCTCCTTTCTTCCAAAGGGCACCCAAGGAAATTATTTGCTTTGGGGAAAAGAAAAGTTGACTCACATTTCCTGTAGGGAAATTCACAATCCTGTGGGAGCAGTGGGCTCCTTGTTCGTCTGACTGCTCTGGCCCAGCTTGCCTTTTGGACAGGAGCTCCTCTCCATAGCTAAGAACAGACCAGAACGTGTCTCAATGTTTTTATGCTTTGTATCTTTTAGGTTTGTTCTTCCTACCCCCAGGCCTACCTGACCTTGGGCTTTCTGGGGGATCACCGCCCCCCTCCCTCTCTTCCCATGTTCACTTCCCTCTAATTCTGACTGAGGTGACCCATCCACCCCTCATTGTGCTCTGGCCTTTTCCTTTTGAAGGTGACACTGCTCCTCCCAAGAAGATCACATCCTGGTTTCTCTCCAAGGGGCAGGGAAAGACCCGGGACGACTCAGCTGACTACATTCCCCATGACATCTATGTGATTGGCACCCAGGAGGACCCCCTGGGGGATAAAGAGTGGCTGGAGATTCTGAAACACTCCTTGCAGGAAATCACTGACATCAGTTTTAAAACAGTAAGTTTTCATCTGATCAGTTGTCCTGGTGGTCAGCCATGAGAACAGCGCAATCGTGAAGATCACAGAAATATGTTGATATCTAAAGGTCAAGAAATATATCCGTCTCTGAGATCAGAGAAATATGTTGATCTCTAAGCTCAGAGATGAGCAGAGAGGATATGGTTATGGATAGGCAGAAAATTCCCAAATCCAGGTTCCTAGAGAAAGGATTCTTAACGTTTTCTGTGTCAGTCTGCAAAAACCTATGGACGCCTTCTCAGAGTCATGGGTTTGAACGCAGAAAATAAGGCACAAGGGGTTACAAAAGAAACCAATTATATTAATATAAGTTATCAAAAAATTTTTTAAAAAAACCAAGTTCATGGAGCCAAGGTTAAGAACCCTTGTGATAAGGAGATTGTGCAATTTCCTTAAGAGATACATCAATTTCTAAGCTTAGAGACGAGCAGAACTCTGGTTTCCAGAGGGGTCTTTTGGTAATGCTTACCAGTGAGGCCAAGTGGGCCTTACTTTGGCAACGTGCTTAGGGTTTTCTATGAAATAGTCACCTCCTTCCAGTCCCCCTGAATAGGGATCCTGATGATTGGACTATTTAGAGAAGGCAACCCACACCTCCATTAGTCAGAATATAGGAGGGACTGGTCCCACTGACTCCTGCCCTGGTCAGACATACGTGAAGTAGTGACTTCCATGCGAGGCAGCATGTGTTAGGAAGGACATTAATCAGCTAATGAGGAGATCCAGGTGAATAGGGCATCAAGGAGCAATGAGCCTGTGCCATATGAAAATCATTGGGAGGAACTAGGAAGGTTTAGTTTGGAGAAGAAAAGACTTGGGGGGGGAGGGGGAGATGGCTATTATTCTCCCCTTTTGGCATAATGAATTCAACAACTATTTTAAAACACTTCCTACTTTGAACACTTGAAATCTATGAGCTTATTAAGTGGTTCTGTGCACGTTCTGCTTGAATACCTCCAGTGATGGGGGACTCAGTACCTTAGGAGGTAACTCATTTCCCTTTTGGACAGCTTAAATTGTTAACAAGTTTTCCACTGTAACTCCCCCACCTCTTCTTCTTCCTCCATTGCTCCTAGGCCTTCCCTCTGGGTCTGAGCCGAGTAAATCCAATCTCTTTTTCACATGGTGGTCCTCGAAATTATGCAAGGTGGCTATTGTTCTGTTTTCTGCCATAATGAATTCAACAACTATTTTAAACACTTCCTACTATGTACATAGCGAGAGGCAGTGTGGTATAATGGTTAGAAGAGTGCTGGCCTCAGAGTCGAGCAGACCTTGGGTCATGGCCTGCGCTCACCGCACATTGGCTACTGACCCTCATTTAACCTCAGTGGCCACAGGCAGCTCTCTCTAGGTTACATAACAGGTGATGGCCTGTGTTGATAGAAAGAGTTTCCTCTCTGGGAGTTCCCTGCTAATGAAGTCACAGGTCAGAAGGTTGTGCAAAACCCCCTTGTGGGTGCTTGGCATCAGACCTGCTCACACACCTCAAGCCATCGTGGGAATGAATGAACATCCCAGCAAATTGTCTGCATTTCACCTTAGTTGGAGTTAAAGTTTTTGAATGAATGGAACATTTCTTATGCACTTTCTATGTGCGGATAGATCATTGCGCTAAGTTCTGGGGATGCAGATAGATAGAAACGTAAAGTCAGTCTATTCTCAGAGCTCCCCTTCTAATGGATACTTTATTCTAAGAAGGAGTAAGCATAAAGACCCGAGGCTAGGACAGCCCAAGGGATTGCTTGGCCATCTCATCCAAGGATAGTCTAGACATTCTTCCTGAAGTCCCTGTCTCTACTTCTCCCCAACCCTTCTCCTCTCACCTCCGGCCACTCTTCTGCCTCCAGTAAGACGGGCACAGGTCCAAGGCCAAATAATCCACTCCCCACCTGAACAAGAACCCAACCAATAGTGTTCAAAGGACTCCAGTCCTCGAAGGGGCAAGCCGTTGTACCCCAAGGCAGCCCATTCCACTAAGGGGTAGCTCTCATGGTTAGGAAACATGTCCTGCCATCCTGCCCAAGTCACCCTCTTTGTAAGTCCTACCCCATGCTCTATTTCTGGGGCTGAGCACACCAGCCTAATCCCTGCCTTCTGCTTCTACGTACAGCCTCAGACCAAACACTTGACATTTACTAGCTGTGTGACCCTGGGCAAGGCACTAAATTGCCTTAAAAATGTATGTGTGAGTGTGTGTGTGTGTGTGTGTGCGCGTGTGTGTGTGTGTATGTATCTATCTATGAAGAGACTTCTGTTGCTCTGTTCTGAGCCTTTTCTTTTTCAGACTAAACATCCTGTTCCTTTAAAGGATCCTCACGTGGTGCGTGGTATGAGTGGCACCATAGATAGAGCACTGAACTTCGAATAGGGAAGACCCAGGTTCAAGTCTTGCCTCCGACATTTATTAGCTGTGTGACCCCGGGCAAGGCACTTACCATTTCTGTGCTTTATTTTCCTCATCTGTAAAAGGAGGAAGTTGGACTCTGGCTGCTAGGGTTCCTTCCAATTCTGTGACCCTGTGATGCCTTCACCACCCTTGTCGCACTGCCCCACCTCCCCAGCTTATCAGTGTCCCTACACTATGATGCCTAGAACTGACCACATCACACCAGATGTGCTCCAGACAGGCCACGGTGCAACTGGGCCGACACCTCCAGAATCCTGGGCACAGCGCCTCTCTGATGCTGCCAGACACCCCTTCTGCATTCTTGGCTTTGGTGCAACACCCCTGACTCCTAGGCAGCTTGCAAAGCCTCGCACTCTGCCCCCTGAGTTTTAGTTGGATGCTTCCTTCCCTCTGTGCTACCCAATGGGCCCCAGGGAGTGATGCGAGGCTGCCTCAGCTGCCCCCTCCCAGGATGTACCAATGCTTGCAACACCCTGTTTGTCTCCCCTGCTAGATAGCCATCCACACTCTCTGGAACATCCGAATTGTCGTGCTGGCCAAGCCAGAGCATGAAAACAGGATCAGCCACATCTGCACAAACAATGTGAAGACTGGGATCGCCAACACTCTTGGTAAGAATGAGGAGGAAAGGAAATCCCATTTTCTCTCATGTGACTGCTGTTCCCGTGGTGCATGGACAGGTGTTTCCCTACTAGCCTGAGAATCCCCTAGAATTCTTGAAGGAACCATCAGGGGTTTCTGGAGAAAGAGAGCAAGGGTAAGAAGAAGCAGTGAGTGGCCTTCAGGGAGAAGCCAAGGGAGAAGTCATTGGCACATGTCAACTGGCAAGAGCAAGGGAAAGTTAACAATGGGATAAGGCTAAGGAGTGAGACACGGTGTTCAGTGCTCGGGTGGTAGTGATTAGCCCTACTGACCACAGCTCCTGTCTTTCTGAGGCCCCACGTTTTAGAAAGGACGTTGATAATCTGGAGAGTGGCCAGAGGAGGGCAGCCAGGACAGTGAAGGGACTTGTGGTCATGCTATACAAGGACTGGTCACAGGAACTTGGGCTATTTCTCCTAGAGAAGACTCGGGGTGGCATGGTTAACCGTTATTATACCTGGAGCACTGTCCTAATGAAGAGGGATTCTGTTTGGCCTTAGAGGGCAGCTGATGAGGCAAGGAGAGGAAGTGGCAAAGACATGAATTCTGCCTCGCTGTCAGGAAAGATTTCCCACCAAAGTAGAATAGGCTGTCGTGGGAGACAGTGGACTTCCTTCATTTGTGGTCGTTGAATTGTAGATTTAAAGGGACATAAGTGACGGATGGCACAATGGATAGAGCACTGGACTTGAAGTCAGGAAGAATCATCTTCCAGCCTCAGATACTCCCTAGCTGGGTGACCTTGAGCAAATCACTTCACCCTGTTTGCCTCAGTTTCCTCATCTGTAAAATGAGCTGGAGAAGGAAATGGTAAACCACTCTAGCATCTTTGCCACGAAAACCCCAGATAGGGTCATGGAGAGTCGGACGTGATTCAACAACAACATTCTCAATGAGTAGGAGATGCTTATTTTCTGCCTGCTACGGGAGAACAAGCACTGGTAGCACCCTTTAAATTTCAGGACCCTAAGTTGAAGCTCCAGCCATCCCACCTTAGTTAGGGCTCTGGGAAGACAGTCAAATCTCAGTCTGTTCTGTAGGTGAGAGGATTGAGGAATTCAGTGGGAACCCACTCAGATGCTCAAACTCAACTAGACCCCTTTCCCCACCCCCACCCCTTTCTCCTGCCTTACCTTCTCTCCCAAGACCTCTAGCTTTGGGGTTTTCCTTGGTCATCCTCAGGAGATAAGATGGCAGGAACTTTGTCACTTCCTGCACTTCCCCAAATGCTGCTAAAAATCTTGAAGCTGACAGATTTGCCCTGTGCTCCCCTCCCCACCTCTGTTTAGTAGGGGGAGAAACTCTGGTTTTGTCATCAGCCCTGTGCCCATGATTCCTTTTGAATATTTTGGCACTCATTTAGAAACACCCTTTTCTTAGAGGTGAAGAAAGTCCCATCTTATATGTCTTCCTGAACTTTCCCTGAGAAATTGCACCTGTCATTTCCCCCTCATCTGTCATGTCTTCACTACCCCCAAATGAAGGCTGGTTTTTTTCCTCTTTGCTAGCCCCTCCTATGCCCTCCCCTGACTATGCCATGATTGTGTGTATCTGTTATCCCTCCCATTGAAGGTAGATTGAATCTTTGCCTTGATAACGGTGTTTTCCTTCCTATCCCCAGGTAATAAAGGAGCTGTGGGTGTCTCATTCATGTTTAATGGAACCTCCTTGGGATTTGTCAACAGTCACTTAACTTCAGGAAGTGAAAAGAAACTTAGGTAAAATGTACTGACCTCCAGAAGACTCCTGCTGGGAGGGGCTGCTCAGATCCTGTCCCTGGCCAGCAGCTGCTGAGTCATGTGTCATGGGCATGTCATCATAGGGGGCTCAGGTCACCTTGGGTCTCCACGTGGGGCAGAAGGAAGGCAGTGATGGTCTTTGAGGACGGATGTGGATGGCCCGGAGAATGGAGGGATTTCTCCAGAATTTAGTGATCTAGTTAACGCCTAAAACAGGTATCTAAAGGTCTTTGCCTTGGGAGAGAGCCAGATTGGGGCGTCCTTGCAAGTAAAAGTTTTTTTTTATCATTTCCATGTACTGAAAGGTGTCCCCAAAATTTTACTGCAGTTTTTAAGTTATTAGACTCTTAAGACATCCTGTATATCTTTTGTCTATTCGTAACCATCATTTCTGCATATATCATTGCCCTTCTTCTCCTCAGAGATCCATCACTTATAAGTGAGATAAAGAAGAAAAACCAAAGACTAAAGAAAGAAGCATTCATCCGATTAGCCACCACATAGACCTAGTGTAAAGAGTCTAGGCAGTGTCCCGTACCCATAGCAAGAGGAGGAAAAACAGTTCAACAAAATGAGCCAACACACAGAGCAAGTCTGCCAGTGGATGCAGTACTCCATAGCCATGGTCCCCCATATCCACCAGGAAGGGCGGGAGGAGCGGGCCCCTTACTGCATTCTCTGAGCTCCAGCCTGGCCAACACATTTAAATTCAAGAAACACTTATTAGGCACTTAACTATGTGCCAGGTACTGTTTGAAGCACAAGAAAGACAAAGATAACAAATGACATAGACTTTGCCCTCCAGAAGCTTACATTCTACCAGGGAGAAGCTATGTTTACATAATTAACAACAATAATAAAAATCACATTTATGTAATGCCTGCCATGTACCAGACATTTTACAAATATCATCTCATTTGAGACTCAGAGCAACCCTGGAAGGTAGGTGATAGCTATATATTATCCCCATTTTACAGATGAGGAAGCCAAGGCAAATAGGGTTAAGTGACTTGCCTAGGGTCACATAGCTAGTAAGTGTCTGAGGTCATATTTGAACTGAGGTCTTCCTAACTCTAGCCCTGTCATTCTGTACATTGCCTCACCTAGCTGCCCTTAACACAGATCAGCTAATACAAGATAAATTAAGAAAAGAGAGGATGTGGACGCCTGAAGGGGTAGGGGTGGGAGTGTTGTCTAGAGAATGAGAAGGATTTCTAGTAATTTCTTGATCTCAATTTAGCTAACACCTAAAAACTCAGTTTCGTTGATGGGGGTGGGGCAAGAAGGCAGTTAAGCTGGTTGGTGAGGTAGATAGGCCTAAAGACAGGAGGATCTGAGTTCAAATCCAGCCTCAGACGCTTACTAGCTTTATGACCCTGGGCAAGTCATTTAACCTTGTTTGCCTCAGTTTCCTCATCTGCAAAATGAGCTGGAGAAGAAAATGGCAAACCACTCCAGTATCTTGGCCAAGAAAACCCCAAATGGGCTCACAAAGATTAGGACCCAACTGAACAACAGCAAATTAATAAAGGGAGAAGTCCAGGTTGGGCGCCTTTTCAAGTTTAAACTAACATTATATAATATCTAATGTGCGCTAGAGACTGTGTGAGGTACTGAGGGATACAAAAAAAAATAACGGTGTAGACCCTGCCCTCAAGGAGCTTCCATTCAAAATGACTTTTTTTTTTCTAACTAAAGCTGATTGCCTCTTCAGTCACTAAGGAGCTTGGCTACAGATAGAGCCTTTGGAGTTGTATTTGAGTGAGTTTTCATGAGGCTTATGGTGTCACGGATGAGAGGGCCACAGTCAGGAAGGCTCACCTCAGATTCATCCTCGCCCGGGGACCTTGGCAAGTCCCTTTCCCTTTCTGTACCTCAGTTTCCTCATCTATGAAATAAGGGAGTTGCACTTGACCTCCAAGGTCAAGTCAAGGCTCTAAATTCCTGATCCTGTCATCTTGCCAGTGACCCAGCCTCCGGCTGGCTCTGCCCAGGTCCAAAGCCTCAGCCCTGGCAGCGGCTGCCCATTGGGAGAGAGATGCTTGAGGCAGCAGAGGTCCTGGGGATTCCCAGAAGAAGCAGAATAGAGCCCCCACTGTGTCCCTGGCTTCCCCGAGGGAGTGCCCTCCGCTCTGCCTAGAAGCTCCCTGCCTAGGCTGCTCAGAGGGCCAACCGGGTGCCGTGCTGCTTGTGTCTGTCACTCCCTCAGGCGGAATCAAAACTACATGAGCATCCTTCGGTTCCTGGCCCTGGGAGACAAGAAGCTGAGTCCCTTCAACATCACTCACCGTTTCACACACCTCTTCTGGCTGGGAGACCTGAACTACAGACTGGAGCTGCCACCCTCGGTGAGGAAGGCCCTCTTCCAGGCCAGCCTTTCCCAAGGTCCCCAGCACCCTCCCCGTCCCCTGCCCCCATCTTCAGATAAGTAGGACCACTCCAGTGGGGGAGGAGCAGTGAAACCTTAGTCCTGGGGCCCGTGTGTGGCTCCAGACGAGCCAAAGAAGGCTGCTCATTCCGATGTTCTGATTGAGGGCTGGAGAAGAGCCTGCATTCTTGTCCAGGGAGTGAGCACGCCGGCGGTCATGACGCTGGCCACCATTCCTGTAGCACTTTGACGGTTTGTAGAGCCTTTTTTTGTCTCTCATCTCATTGACCCTGTGAGGTGCATGCTATTATGATCACAGTTTGAAGATGAGGCGAAATGCTTTGCCCAGAGCCACCTAGCCAGTAAGAGGCTGAGGCAAGGCGTGAAAGTCCAGAACCATTCTCTCCACTGCGCCACCTTGCTCCCTTCCAGCACGTTGGATTTTCCAAGTGCTTTCATCCTACTGACTACCTGGGTGAGCGTGACGTTGGAGAAGTCTCTTATCCTCCCTACTCAGTAAAATGAGGAAAATTGGTCTAGACCGCCCATAAGGTCAGTTCCATGATCCCATTATCTTCTCTGGGTCTCAGTTTCCTCATCTGTAAAATGAAAACAGGGCAGCTAGGGGATGCCATAGTGCACAGAGCGCCAGGCCAGGAATCAGAAAGACTCATCTTTGTGAGTACAAAGCTAACTTCAAACCCTTACCGGCTTTGTGACCCTGGGCAAGTCACTTAACCCTGTTTGCCTCAGTTTCCTCATCTGTTAAATGGGCTGGAGAAGGAAATGGCCAACCCCTCCAGTTATCTGCCAGGAAAACCCCAAATGGGGTCACGAAGAGTTAGTAAACACGACTGAAATGACTGAACGATAACAAAAATGAGAATGGCTGAGCTCGATGGTCTTTGAGATCACCTCCAGCTATCTGTGATCCTAAGACTTGCCAGTCATAACTAGTACGTGTTTGTGTCAGGACTTAAAGCCAGGTCAATCAGCCAATCAATAAACATTCATTAAATGCCTGCTATGTGCCAGGTACTGTGCTGAGCTCTGGGAATACAAAGAAAGGCAAGAGAAGGTTGCCAGGTCTTCCAGACTTCCGGGCATGCATTCTATCCTCTTTTCCAGGCTGCCTCTGAGGAGGATGAATAGGAATAAGAACCCAGCCCCTCCCCCCAACAGTGAAACCTGGCTGCAATTGGCAGTTTCAGGTCTTAGGATACCCCTGCCCTAGCCAGGGATACCCTGCCTAGGACTGCCCCTCCCAGGGCTGCCCCACCCAGAGGACTGCCCCTCCCAGGCTGCCTCAGCCAGGGATGCCCCAGCCAGGGAAATCCCACTAAGGGCTGCCCTTCCCAGGGCTGCCCCACCTCAGGGCTGCCCCACCCCAGGCTGCCTCAGCTAGGGATGCCCCAGCCAGGGATGCCCTGCCCAGGACTGCCCCTCCTAGGGATGCCCTGCCCAGGGATGCCCTAGTCAGGGATACCCTGCCTAGGACTGCCCCTCCCAGAGGACTGCCCCACCCAGGCTGCCCCAGCCAGGGCACCAAGCCCCTCCATGACTCCACATCCTCTTCCTTCCAGGAAGCAGAGAACATCATCCAGAAGATCAAGCAGCAGCAGTACTCAGAGCTGCTGCTTCATGACCAGCTCCTCATGGAACGCAAAGACCAGAAGGTCTTCCTGCATTTTGGTAAGAGGCGACCCTTCTGGGCTGGGCAGAGTGGTGGCAGCAGGAGACCTGCCCGCGGCTCTAACGAGGCCCCTCTCTTTCAGAGGAGGAAGAGATCACCTTCGCTCCCACCTACCGCTTTGAAAGGCACACCCGTGAAAAGTATGCCTACACTAAGCAGAAAGCCACCGGGGTAGGTGCCCCTTCCGTGGTCATTCTCCAAGCACTGGAGAGGGAGTTGGGGGCCCTGGGTTCAAATGTCTGATTTGGCCTGTGTGACCTTGGGCAAGTCACCTGCTCAGGCTTTTGCTTCCTCAGTAAAAGGCAGGGGAGGGGCTGAGCTTGATGGCCTCTGGGGTCTTTTCCAGCTGAAGATCTATGATTCTATGTGTGACCTTGGGAAAGTCACCGAATTTATCTAAGCCTCAGTTTCCTCTTTGGTAAAATGAAGGGGGTTGGGCTAGACGGTCTCAGCAGTCCCCCAGCCTTGTCTAGGGGCTATGATCTCTCCCTTCCACCTCCTCTGGCCCAATGTCACCAAACTAAGAGTTAAGCACCTTTACAGTCATAGGCTGAAGGATGGGAGGGACGTTCCAAGGCTATCTAGCCCGAGCCCTTACTTCACAGATAAAGATCTTAGAAGCCCATGGAGGTCGAATGACAATGTTATAGAAATATAGATGAGCCAGAAGGGCCCTCATTTTACAGACGGGGAAACTGAGGCCCAGGAAGGTGAAGTGATTTGCCCAAGGTCACATGGGTAGGTGGTCAGTGTCAGAGGTGAGATTTGGACCCAGGTCTTATGACTCCAAGAGCCAGTGCTCTAGGCTTGGAAGATAAAGAGCATCTCTAGAGAAACGCATGGTGGTGAGGGATCATAGAGTGTTGGATTTGCAGTCAGGAGGCCTGGTTACAAATTCCAGATTTGCCCCTGACTCCCTTTGTGACCTTGGCTAAGTCACTGGGTTACTCTCTGGGTCTCACTTTCTTCATCTGCAAAATGGGAGGGTGGGCGGATCACTAAGGTCATTGTCCCAGCTTCACATCCCATGGCCCCACAAGAAATCAGATGCTTGTGAATTGTCCCCAGGCTGGAGCCCCTGTGGGTGAGAAGACCAGTTGTTGTTGAATCATTTCAGGCGTGTCCACTCTTCATGACCCCATTTGGAGTTTTATTGGCAGAGATCCTGGAGGGTTGGCCATTTCCTTCTCTAGCTCATTTTACAGATGAGGAAACTGAGGCAAACAGGGTGAAGTGACTTGTCCAGGGTGACACAGCTAGTACATGTCTGAGGCCAGATTTAAACTCAAGAGGATGAGTCTTACTGACTTCAAGCCCAGTGCTCTGCCCACTGTGCCACCTAGAAACCGCCAAAAACAATGGTTCATGCCAAGTTACTTTTCTCTTTTTTCAATGAAAAGCGGGAAAAGGATTCTTTAAATTTGGTCTCTCCCCTCTTTTCTTGGCAGATGAAATACAATTTACCATCTTGGTGTGATCGTGTGCTCTGGAAATCCTATCCCCTTGTGCATGTGGTATGTCAGTCTTATGGTGAGTAGACTCAGGATAGAACCAGCCAGGCATCATGCGTAGCCCAGAGGACAGAGAGCAAAGAGCTCGAAGGTCATCCAACTATCATTTATGACACCACTCAGGGCCTCAGTCTACCCATATAGCAAATCAGAGCAATTCTACTCTAGTTGTCAAGATGTTAAAGGATCTAACTAACCACCAGGCAGGCGCCAGAGTAACATAATAGTAGCTAACATTTATATGATGCCTACTATGGACATTTAATATACGTGATCACTGTGCTAAGCACTTCACATGTATTATCTCATTTGATACCCAGAACAACCCTGCGAGGTAGCTGCTTTTGCTATCACAATTTTACAGATGAGGAAACTGAGGCAGACAGGTTAAATGACTCGCCCAAGGTCAGACAGCTAATAAGTCTCTGAAGCTGGATCTGAACTCATCTTCCTGAATCTAGGCCCAACCCTCTGTCCACTGTGCCACCTACCTGCCTATAAGTTAATGAGCTAAAAATTCATTAATTTGGGATAAAGGCAATAGCTTGCTAAGACTACAGGTTTCAGAATAGCTGCTGATCTAAGACCATGATGGAAGTTCTTCCACAAGACTTGCCTATGGTAAAGAAGTCACGGATTCCAATCTAAAGCAGGGAGGGGAAGGAGAATGGGGAGAAGACCTCTCTGGTTCATTGGTTCCATAATGAGTCTGTGTTGTTGAGATTTTTTTTTAAAGAAAAGCAAATTTATCATTGTAGAGCATGGCATAGTGACTACTAGATCAGTCTTAGAGTCAATTTACATCCTATCTCTGACACAACCTGGTTGTTACCCAACCTCCTGGCACCCTGAACAGCTCTCAGAGATTTCAGATGAGTTTCAGATGTTTCAGATGAGTCACCATTCTGCAGTGGTGGAGAGTTTCCACACCGGAAATTCTCTATACCAATGAAATCACAATATGAATTAAGATACAAATTGATTCAAATCAGGTGAATGGGAAAATAGCCATTTTACCATAAGAACTTCAAATGCAAAAAAAATTATATATATTAAGTATCTAAAAGCATTTAAAATATATGTTGAGCCTAAAGTTTAAACACAGTAAATGGAGATGTAGTTATCTTTCTGAATATTTGGTTTGAAAAAAAATTGCTCATTTTAGACTGGAGTCCTATCACTGGCAAGTAACCTCGGGATTTAGTGAGGAATTCTTGAAATATTTTATGTTAAACTCAACCAGAATAATTTCTCCCATGTGTGAGGATCATACTAGAGTTGAATGACTTTTGAGGCATTTCCATATTTCAGCATGCGTACACTAAGCAGTCAGGGGCCACGAGTTTCCTGATTAGAAAAGCATATCACTTTGCAACTAATCTCTGTTAAATTTCATTTTTGGTTCAGCTCATTATTCTAGCCCATTGGGATCTTGTAAAAATCTACTGTCATCCACATTAGCTGTTCCTTGAAGCTTTGGGTCATGTGTATTTAGATAAACACAGGACGTGCTTTTATCCACTCAGTTGACAACCACTAATTAATTACATCTATGTCCCTGCTGTATAAATAATGAATTCCATGAAGTGGTCACATTATTCAAACTCCTACTACATGGAACCAATGCCATATTTTACATGAGTAGAACTTCAAATAGTGTGGGTTTTAATATATGTGATCACCTGCTGGGTAGATTCATATTCTGTCACTAAAAAAAAATGTTTATCAGAACCTGGCCAAGGACAGATCCCCAATTACTCCTCTACAACCCTTCCTCCAGATTTATATCAATTCATTCATTGCTATTCTTTGGGTGTGTTCCTTCAACCAGTTTTAACCTACCTAACTAGTTTATTGCTAGCCCATATCTCTCCATCTTATGTGTAAGAATACCTTGAGAGATCTTGTCAAATGCACTGCTGAAATTCCAGTAAATCATAGCTGTAGTTTTCCATAGTAGACCCATACCAGAGTATCCAGGCTAATAGCCCCCTTGTTCCCATTCCAAGGTTCTCCTGGGAGAGCCCAGGATCACCCCAGGATGTGGTTTTGACCATGTTCAGACCCAGGGGGCTTGGTCCTCTCTGTAATTTCTACAGAGCATCTGCTTCATACTTGGACTGGTCCTTGGAGATCCAGGAGAAACCCCAAGAGATTGGTGGGGAAGAGGAGTGTCCAGAGAGCCTTCAGACTTGCCCCCCCAGGATAGGCCTCTAGTTTTCCCTTGACAGCCACTTCCATGGTTCTATGCAATGGTGATAAGCTTTTCAGCACCCCATTTCTTCTGTCAATTAAGTGGTGAAGCTCACCTTCCTTCCAAAGTTGGAAGACTAGAGAGCAAGGCTAGAGCATGTAGTCCACACGTGCTCACCCTGGGTAGACTTTGGCTTTTGTTTAGGGTCCTGTGAGCTTCAGGGAAGAGCCTGGGATGCCCACCTTATTCACTTGAGTCCTGAGGATGCTTCCTTCTCAGCAGTTCATTCTGCCCCAAAGATTAGTTACCCTGGGAATAGCATGGAAAGTAAATTAACAAGAGGTGGAACCTGGTGCTATCCCTGGTCCTGAACAGACACCCGTGTGCGCCTATACTCACACACCTGCTATACTCACACAAATACCATTTTTTTCTTGTTCCCTTTTCAGGCAGCACCAGTGACATCATGACAAGTGACCACAGTCCTGTCTTTGCCACATTTGAAGCAGGGGTCACCTCCCAGTTTGTCTCCAAGAATGGTCAGTGCCTGAGTACATTCTCTATTTTCTTTAGCACAAAGTCATATCCCATTTTTATAGGACTTTAAGATTGGTCAAAATGCTCCCCTTCCTATAACCCTGGGTAAGGAGGAGTATTTGAATCTCTATTCTCATTTTACATACAAGGAAACCAAAATACCAAGAGGTAGAGAACCAGAGTTATAGTAGTTTGAGTTAGAACTGAGTTTCAGACCAAGGTCTCTTGTGCTTCCAGGACTCCTCCCACACAGGTCTATTGATTTTAATGAAGCCCTGCTCCTTCTGAGCTGGCCACTCCACATAGGGGGAGTGTTTTGGGCTGGACCTTGGAACACCTGGCTTCCACCTAGATAAGATGACTCACAGGCCAGACAAGCACACATTCTTCTCTGAGCCTGTTTCCTCATCGGAATGATCAGATCAGTAATGACTATCGTTGCAGTTACAAGCCTTTGAGCTATATAATCACAGACTTAGAACCCAATAGAATGTAAGAGATCATTCAGTCCAACCTCTCATTATAGAGAAGAGAAGCTGGGGCTTAGAGAGGAAGTAATTGGCCTTGGGTCACGCGAGTAGAAAGTGTCAGAATTTGGGATTTGAACCCAGATCACAGGACCATAGACTTAAACTGGAATGGATCTTAGAGACCATTGAGACCAGCCCCCCTTATTTTACATATGAGGAAACTGAAGCACATAGAAGCTGGGACTGGCCCCAGATCACATGGCTAGTAAGTGCCTGAGGCAGGATTTGAACTCTGGTCTTCCTGACTCCAAGGCCATGCTTTATTCACTGTGCCACCCAGCTTCTAATGTGGCATTTTGTCAGATATTCCTGAAGTCAGGGTGAACTACCTCCCTTTCTCAGTCTTTCTTGACTTGAAGTGGGAAACATCCCAGGACCAGGGAGAAGGACTAGAAGGTAAGCATCCTCGTCTGTCAGGAAGCCTCTTGAGCCTCCATTATCTGGCCCCACTTTCCTTACTCAGCCTTAACTCCTGCCATGCTAACCCCACACTATGGCTGCCTCAGTGGCTCTTAAGACAATCTCCTCCAGAAATAGAACTGGGCAGAGCTCAGAAACCCTTGTTGAGATGCCTTGTATGAGACAGAATCTAATTGTAGGAGAGTTCACCTTTTTAAAATTGTCTCCTTGCCTTTTAGCTTTACATCTTAGTCATTTCTGAAAATATTGTGCCTTCCCTATGAATTGAACCATCCTTTGAAACAAAGAAAAACAGTCAAGCAAATAAATGCCAGTGGAGTGATGATGTCTGAGAACCCAACCCCCATTCTGCCTGGGTGGTGCTCTTCCTTTCTGATACAAGAGGAGAGAGCTGAGCTTCATTGTCTGTTCTCTGGGACCATCCTTCAGAGCAGGGATTGTTTGAGCTTTGGTCTTAAGCTTCCCCAGCACAGTGCCTGGCACGTAGTAAGCACTTAAGAAGTGCTTATTGATTGACTGAGCATTGATTTTTCCTTTATTCAGAGTTGTGCCACCTTTAAATGGTTTTCATTTATTATTTGTATTATTATTACTATTAATAATAATAGCTACCATTTATGTAGTACTTTAAGCTTTGCAAAGTGCTTTACAAATATCATCTCATTTTATCCTCACAACAACCATGGGGAGGAGGAAGTACTATTATTATTCTCATTTTACAGGTGGAGAATCTGAAGCAGACAGACTAAGTGACTTGCCCAGGGTCTCTCAGTTAGTAAGTGAGGTAGAATTTGAACTCAGGTCTTTCTGACTCCAGGTCCAGTGTTCTATCCACTAAGCCATCGAGCTATGTTGTTGTAGCTATAGTGTTTATTTTCCTTTTGGTTCTGTTTGTGTTATTTTGCATCAGTTCATTCAAAATCCTCTGAACTCCTCATAGCCGTCAATTCTTTTTATTGTTCAGTTGTGTCTGACTCTTTGTGACCCCAGTTGAGGTTTTCTTGGCAAAGATACTGGACTGGTTGGCCATTTTCTTCTCCAGCTCATTTTCAGATGAGGAAACTGAGGCAAACAGGGTGAAGTGACTAGCCCAGGGACATACTGCTAGTAAGTGTCTGAGGCCAGATTTGAACTCATGAAGATGAGTTTTCCTCACTCCAGTTTCAGCATCCTATTGATTGTGCATCATCATTTCTTATTGAATAGTATATTTGGTAACATTCACATACAGACAGGGACAAGACAAGTCACTTCATCTGGCTACCCTTGGTTTCTCCATAAAGCTTTTTGATCTCGAGGTCTTTTCCAGTCCTAAATTCTATGAAATTTACCTCCAGATACTTAATGAAATTAAGTCACTCTTGAACCACGGACCAACCCTGGACCAGGGGTTACAATACACTTATACTAACTTCCTTGTGAACCTGTAATGGCCTCCCTAAGGAGAATGGAAACTCCCTGAGAGCAGGCATTATTTGGTTTTTGTCTTTGTATCCCTAGTACCTAGCACAGTGCCTGGTACACAGAAGGCACTTAATAAAAGTTTCTTTGGTTGAGTTGAATTCTCCCCAATTCTAGGTCCTGGAAATGTGGACTCCCAAGGACAAATTGAGTTCCTGAAGTGCTATGCCACCTTGAAGACAAAGTCACAGACAAAATTCTACCTGGAATTCCATTCCAGCTGCCTAGAAAGTAAGGACATTGCTACTTGCCTGCAGGCTTGAGTACATGTGCAGTATTCTCCCTCCTTTGACCCACTACTGCCTCTGATGGCAACCAGCGAAGTAGGGGGTTGGCTCAGGGATAAAGACTGACAGGCAACTTCCATTTATGCTGAGATCTGGAGTGCCTTCATCCAATTTAGAAATCACTGTGGCCTCCAGGATCAGGGGTTGGGGTGGGAAGATGCCCTTCAACGTCCTCACATTGAAGGGACTTGTTCCTTGCCAGGGAGGAAGAGCTAGTTATTCATAACATAGTCTTTTCAGGTGAATTAGCTTCATTATTTCGCAGAGTGGGAGGCATAAGACACGGGTTTGTAATCTGGGGACTTAAAAATGTGATAATTATATTTCAATATTATTGGTTTCTTTTGTAACCTTATATAGTTCATTTTATGCATTTTAAAAAAAAAAATTCTTCTGAGAAGGGCTCCATTGGTTTCACCAGACTGCAAAAAACACCAGAAAGATTAGGAACCCCCACCTTAAAGCAGTGGAGGATAATCCCAAGGCAAGCTCCAAGTGGACTATGGAAGCCAGAGCAGTGAAATTCCAAATAGCATTGGTGGGGGTGAGGTGGGGTAGCTATAGGGGCTGCTCCCTTCCATCAGCCTCACTTTTCCTGGACAACCCAAGAAAAACATTACTTTCTTTATCCCCTTTCTAGCAGCATAAGAATACATTTCTGGTATGGACTAATCTTAAGCCATATATATACCTCTGGGTACCCCCATCTCACTTTAGTTTTTAACATTTGAAAAAAATCTGTGCTGGGGAAACGCCTTTTGGGGGGTGTATTTCTAGCTATTCCCATCTGAGGCTGTTTCACAGGAAGAATAGGGTTGTGTGGTTTCTAATTCTGTTAGTTGGGGGGGAAGAAAATAGGGACAAAAGCCTCCCCGAAGAAAGAGGGTGTGTGTTCAGAGGTGCTGAGCTGAGACACTTCCCAAAGGGATGTGATTGTGTGTGGGGGGGGGGGGGGTTGCACATCTGTGCTGCCAACACCAAGAGTGGCCCATCTGGATAGAGAGTGCCAGCAGTGAATCTCCCTGCTCGGGAGCCATCCTTCCTCCCTTTAGCTCAGCCTGGTCCTCCATCATCACAGGGAGCTAAATGACTAGCCAATGTCATTTCCCTGCTCAGACCTCATGGCAACCCTGGCCCACAGCTATGTCAAAGAGAGCTATAAAAACAACGTGACTGCGTGTACATGTGCAGGCGCGAGCGCGGGCACACTTTAATAAAGTATATAGACATTTGCATAGATTGCTATGGAAACGGCATATTAGGAGGCTTAACTTAGAATTTCAAAAGGGTGCTATATTGAGTGGCTGTGGGAAGAGCTGGCTGTCATGTTCCTCATATCTTGTCCATGGATGTGATGATTCCCCCAGTGCCAGTTTTGTTGAGAAATGGGGGGGGGCAGGGGAGGAGGGAGAATCAATTACCTAAAAATAGTCAGATGGTACTGCTGAAGTGCTCCAAACTAAATCCACATCCAAACAGGGCCAGCCTGGAGCAGACTAAGTCTATCAACCTAAGACACTCCCCCTCCACCCTGAGAAAACAGGGAAAAATGCATCTTGGCATAGTTAGACACAGTGCCGGGGAGAGGATTACATGCCAGATTCTTGCCCTGCCTGCAGAAAGAACCCACTCTCTTCTCTGACATTCTCCCAGGTTTTGTGAAGAGTCAGGAAGGAGAAAATGAAGAAGGAACGGAAGGGGAGCTGGTGGTGAAGTTTGCTGATGACCTCCCAAAGGTGACTGGAGAAATGTGACCCAGGGATGAGGGAGGCCTCATCATTGAAAGGGATGGGATGAAATCTGATAGAGCAAACATGGACCATTTGGATGATGAGGTCCCCAAGAGGATGGAGACCCCAAGTTCAAGGGACTCTGTGAGGCCACACATGTACACCTTTATCTCATGAGCTCATTGCAGTGATGGTGTGGGTCTTGGAGCCAGGAAGACCCAAGTTCAAATCCTGTCTCACACACTTACTAACTGTGTGACCCTGGGAGCATCACTTAACCTCTCTGTTCCTTTGCTTCCCTATCTATAAAATGGGGATAATAATACCACCTACCTTACAGGATTGTTGTGAGGATCAAATGAGTTAACATATGCAAAGTGCTTTACAAATCTTAAAGCACTATACAAATTCTAGCTATTATCGTCATCACTGTGTCTCCACCTATGTGTTTGTTTGAAATAGCCAGCCAGAGGACACAACTGGCTTAAAGCAAAGACTGAATGGTCTCCAAGAGCAAACCTCTCATGTTTTTAAGAGTTAGAAAAAAGTAATTAAGCACTAGCAGCTAGGTGGCGCTGCAGTGGATAGAGCGCTGGGCCTAGAGTCAGGAAGACTCATCTTCTTGAGTTCAAATCTGGCCTCAGATGATTCCTAACTGTGTGACCCTGGGCAAGTCCCTGTTTGCCTCAGTTCCTCATCTGTAAAATGGGCTGGAGAAGGAAATGGCAAAGCACTCCAGGATCTTTGTCAAGAGAACCCCAAATGGGGTCATGAAGACTTGGACACAAGTGAAAGGATTCAACAACAGCCACAAACAACAAGTTAAGCACAAGTGTAGGCATTTTTTTTTAAAAGTGGAGGTTCAAAATGTACCTTTAGCCATCATGCCTAAACATGCATTGATTGCTTTTAAGTATCATGATACATGAATACATGCATGGGTGGATCCATGATCTCATTGTTAAGGGCATTCCCTTTGATGACGCAGATCACAGCCCATCTGTCCCTAATCATCCTGGGTGACTTCCCATGAACTCACTCAGTGGGTTAGGGCCCTTCCTTGTGGGCCAGGGGCCTTCTTTGCTTTGTTCTGACGTCCCTGGATGCTCCCAGGCTGTGCCAATGGAACACAAACTTTGAAAAGTGCTACCATGATAAAAATGTTTTGAGTCCTGTCTCAGCAACACACCGTGAACTTCCTGAGAAATGCCTGGCAAAGTATAGAGTCTCATCATCAGTGCATTGGCCACC